TATTAACTCACATATTTAATATTCGAAATATTTAATGAAGTTTCACCCGTTTTACGTGAAGTGGCGTCGCAATACTCGGTGAAAAACGCGATATTCGCGCTGATATGCAGTAGTCGTGAAATAAATTTTTCATATATTCTTCGATTATATCATATGTCAAACTACATTAAAACGAATTCACAAGTTAATCCATATCTACCAAAAACCACACCCCAGCCGTCAAAATCTCCTTTCCCACCACACACATACGATCAATGCATTGTTTCAGGTCCTCTAACCCTGAATCGACCCTACATCACACAGCGCGGCATCGAATTCAATCCTCTGTCCAGTGACTCCATCGAAACAGCTCGGGAACGATTGTCCAGCATGTGCTGTGACGAGCAGGTTGGGCGAGTTATGATGCCTCAGCCGATGAATGAGGAGATGCGCCCTTTTTACTACCAACTCGTTCGCCACTACCATACCTAATAAAAATAAATATTTAATCCCGAGCCAAATTCACCCAAGAGATCCTGGTTGGTTTTACCCGAGTAAAAACGTCACGAAATACCCGAAGGGCCACCGGCTTAGGACATACCATCTCAGCCTGAAAGTTCTTCCGAACGTTTCATACCAACACGTGGAACCTCATCCAGTGTTGGAGGAATATGTGTTTCCTTTCCTAGGGGTTCATATACGAATTTGTGTAGAAATTTTCAGAAACCAACAAGAATTTCATCAACATGCATATTTTCCCCCACACGATGAACAAAAACCTTCCGCGTGCGCAAGATACCCGTCCTCACTACCTTCTGGAGGTTTACTGACATCAGGCCTCGGACACTCATTGAGCATTTCCAACAACTGACTCGTCTTACTTCCTGGCGCCGAACAGATATCAAGTATGAGAGAATCTTGCCTGACTCATTGAAAGATACAAAACATGCCCAAAAATGCAACACTTACTTCAACTCTCCCTTCAGAGCAAGTGCTGGTAACATCGAAACCGTTTCCTGTAAAAATAAACATCACTAAACCCTGCGCGAATGTGTCGGTAAACCCCCAGTGAAATACACACCTTCATCACGATCAGATCGGACTAACGAGCGTCTTTTTTTCTCTCCGTTTTTCAGGTTTTTCCTTTTTCTTATTTTTTTCAAGAAAAGAATATAAATTAAAAACGAAAAAATTTTTTCCGCGTTTAATAAGAAATTTTCTGATGTGAAAATTTAGCATAAACTTCAACTGAAGGCTAATATATCACATACTAAAATGAAATACAACATTATCACCTGTCGCATGAGCACACCGGCCTGCCCTTGGTTGACCAGAAACTCATGAAAGGATTTCAAGCCAGATAGGGGAGCGCGCAGAACTGGACGAGGTAGATTCACCTGATGAGAAAAATATGTCAATAACCTTCCAAAAGAAAAAACACAGAAAACGCACCACTTATAAAAAATTTCGCATAAATTTTCCTACATGAATAGAATTGTTCAACTTTTGGGAAGGCACAGTTCCACATGAGGGCAACGACACACAATCAGCAAACGGATGAAAGGAAAAATATTTCTTGAGATTAAAATTTACTATTTCACGATAACTAAGTAGTGTTACAGATGTAAACCACAACAAAACTTAGATATAACGCAGTTTTCACCACCCTAGTGATATGAAAACCACCAGTGAGAAATCTATCACCGCGAATATCGCCTAGTTTCTCACCGAGTATTACGCCACCACTTCCACGTAAAACAGGTAGTCGTGAAACTCCGATAATATGTTTCTCAAGTGAATCGGCCATAATCATCATAGATGAACAACACCAAGAAGTAACACTTATCCCAGCCATGTTCTCTTCACTACCTGATAACCGTCCTCGACAAATGGTAGCTCTTCAAACTCTCCGGGGTGAATTTTTGATATCTCCTCCTACCAGAGTGATAACAACTATAATAAGAATGGATAAAAGACCTACTTGAAATTTTTTCGCTTGCTCTTTAACGATGCCAGAGGACACCCCCAGGTCCATCACACGAAAACTGGTGGGGAGGGGGGTACGCAGACACTCGAGCGTCTGAGGCGGCACACTTTGGAGAGGGGGATATCACAACGTGGAATTTATGGGGAGAATGAAATTGTTGCTTTTTGGACACTTCTAACCGAATTCATATATAAACTCCTGAGGAAAGCGATTACATATATTCCTACTCCAACACTGTATAGGAAACTCTTCTGAGCTCAGCAGGTGAGGAAAGCGATTACATATATTCCTACTCCAACACTGTATAGGAAACTCTTCTGAGCTCAGCAGCTGAGGAAAGCGATTACATATATTCCTACTCCAACACTGTATAGGAAACTCTTCTGAGCTCAGCAGCTGAGGAAAGCGATTACATATATTCCTACTCCAACACTGTATAGGAAACTCTTCTGAGCTCAGCAGCTGAGGAAAGCGATTACATATATTCCTACTCCAATACTACTACAAACAAAACGTTTTTCGAATCGATTCAAAAACACAGGAGCGATAAACTTCCTTGTGAATACCTTTTTCCACTCCTCGGGGGGCAGTAGACCTTGAGTATTGTAATACTCATCGAATGCATCGCTCTGGAACGTAGCCTTGTCACCACGAGAATCATATCTGCAAACTCTTTCAGGGAAAACGTTCACAATTAGTCCTAGTATGATGAATGACCCTTTTTTAGTTGCCCTTGGTAGGCTTCATATACTATCACAATCAGCGAGCATTGATTAACAGCAGCTGTATGAAAAAAGTAATAACAACAATAACAACTACATGTAAATTCCGGGAGGGAGAGTTGCTTTCTGTACACTTCTACCCGAATTCGCATGTGAACTCTCGAGTACTCAGCTGAGGAGTGCTAAGATATTCCTCAATTTACGAGGATAATATTAAACTCGATAAAACGGCAGTATACGGTGAGTAGACTCCACCCATTCTGAAATTCAACAAGTGCCTTACCGCCATCCGCTGGGTTCTTCATCTGTTCCCTTGCTCTGTTGGTGATGGCTGCTGACCCCAAGGCCTTTCCGTTTGTAATAGTTCTTGCTGTTCTTACCCATCGAGAAACAAGACTGTATGTTCAACAATTATCATCACAGAAAAGTACTAACTGTTTTTACTCGGGTAAAAACGTCACAAAACCAGCGGGCTTGAGGGTAAATTTTAAATTTCTAATTCTCTTCCGTCACAAATAAACTCTCGCGTGTCTACTTGGGAGTCCAAATGCGCAAGATTGCAATTTCTTCCTGCATTTATGGTAGAATCATCGTAAACACTTGCTAAGGGGGTGAAGGGCTTAACGGATAATGATGGCTGCAGCAGCCTTATGAGAACGTCATTGTGGTATCAATAGATATCATCACTTGTAAGATGACCTCAACGTTGTAGTAGAACTGGCCAACCACATGTGTTGGTGACAATATGAAATCTCTGAGGAACGCTTGGAAAATCCTTGCTATACTTTCTGTACACTTATCGTGTATATGCCCCAATTCGTATTTAAAATCCTATGATTAGTGAGAAAATTTTTATTTGTATTATTCGTATTTTATTTTTATTATTCGTATTTTATTTTTATTATTCGTATTTTATTTTTATTATTCGTATTTTATTTTTATTATTCGTATTTTATTTTTATTATTCGTATTTTATTATTATTTTTATTATCATTTTTTGCATCACTGAGTAGAACTAATGATAGCAAGCCCTAGAGTGTCTTATACTGCTGTTGGCAATCGCAATCTACTGTGTTGTTGAGGCAAGACACACTTGTTGTTACCAAAGCTATTTATGGACTCTCGAAACGGTAACAACATTGAGCTCACTCAAAGGGTGTATGGGCAGCAGCACAGTACAGCGGCCTCACGTTTCGAGACCAACAACAATGCTAATAACGTAATTTATGCATCGACCACTTTCTACACCTCTAAAGTGTAAGTGGGGGAAGCGACGCCCTACTACTACTACTACTACTACTACTACTACTACTACTACTACTACTACTACTACTACTACTACTACTACTACTACTACTACTACTACTACTACTATACTATTGCTACTACTACTATTACTACTACTAGGTACTTTTTGATTCTCCTCATCGTAGCCGATTCAATAGCAAATGTTGGTTTTGACTACACTACCTCCCAAGCGGCTCTCATCACATACTTCACATTGCAGGTATGTCCTCGACCACACCTCGATTACAATCATCAATATCAGGTTATCATTCATTGCACATTATTACTCGCCGCATTCCTCCTCTCCTGGAGCACCTTCCTACAGCGTTTCGGCCTCCTAGGGCTAGCTTTTCGAGATGCTTGGCCAGTGCTTCTCGCTGGAGCTCTGCGATTTTGTACTCTTGCTGACAGTATTAAAATTTTTGGAAATTTTCTCACAGCACGGGTGTTGGTGACAATATGAAAATTGTGATTTGCCTTGATAAAAACAACAATGTAGTTTCCAGTAAGTATATAGCAAGACTGTGCAGGTGTTTCGGGAAAAGTCTACACTTGTGAGAAAATTCCTGAAAACTTCAAAAAGTAGAAAGGAAACTCTTCAACTGAGCCAAGGAATGTAAATATATATTCCTCCAACACTGTTATCATCTACTTCAGCAATGTGAAAATTTTTCTAATTGGTTTCTGTTCACTTCTACTCTCACCCTTATGTGAACTCCTGAGCTTATATTCCTACTCCAGCACTGTATAGGATCATCTCATCGAGTTGCCAGGCACTCTTCTGGCCGTCCGCATCCCTCGTATGATATCAGCGTTTGAAGAGTTGGAGGATACTGGTGGTTTACCGTTAACTATTCACTCGATGCTGTCAGTGTTGATGTACACAGCAGTGTGCAGGTGAGTACTTGTTACTATCACGCGAAATTCGGTTTCGTTTCGGGCAGGCGGATAATACGCGTTACGCAAGGTACGCTGTAAGAGTGGGTCGAGCTATGTATTATAGCCCTCGTGTGTGGGTCGAATCCTCAAGTGGTGGAAGATTATGAATACTCATGATCATGCACTTGTGTGGCTTCGATAGTGATGGTAGAGTTGCACAATTCAGGAAAATTATTATTACGTTACCGGCTTGGGGTCTAATATAGAGTTGGCAGCGATCACATGCGCATGCGTTAACATTCAAAAAGTGAGGCGGCGCGCTCACACTGAGCATAGTTACTCGACTGCTTCTTAACCTTTTCTTCAAAATTGATGAAAATTCCAACGAAGATATAGAATTTGATAGTAAGCCGGAAATTTGACCATAACTAGTTTGACACACATCACTATGGTGAGTCCAACTAACCTACACAATTTCCCACAGAGATGCGTCTCGGGCTCAGTCAATGACATCATCACATTAGGAACATCAACATCAAACTCTGGGGAGACGTTAATTCTCAAAGCCAGATGGGCCTTTCCTATCACATCCATCGAAACACACTTGAGACTAACCTTCGTGTATCAACCGTGAATGGCCCTCTTAGCAAAAATTGATGATTAAAATTTCTCAAAAGTTTTTCACCCATGTTTGATAAGTTGTTCATTAATGCCGTTGTCGTCCGCATCATCAACAGTTGCCTTATACCACCCACAAGTAGCAGCGGAGGGCGGCTCTTTACGGCTCGTAGACATATCACAGGTGAGTTATAGTGTTGGGGTGATAGGCTCGCTCGGGAGTTCTTATGCGATGAAGAATTTCCCAAAATTTCCTCAGAATTTTCATATTCTCACCAACACATGTGGTTAATTATGTGCATATTTTCGCACTCAGGAAATTTCCCAAATTTTCTCTCAGAATTTTCATATTGTCACCAACACATGTGCATATTTTTCCGATTGAATTGCTCCGACGAGTTTCTCAGGAGGAATCTTTGAGAAGTGTGGCGGCGTGTCCAGCTGATGGCAACTGCGGAGGTGATACAGGATCGTCCTCTTACTTGGCGTGGAGCAGTGGGGAGTCTTTGGTTTACGGCGCAGGAGGTAGTACTAAAGTGGAGGAACGGGAAAATTTGGGAAAAAATGGAAAAAATGGGAAAATTTGGAAAAATTTGGGAAAATTTGGAAAAATCTGGAAAATTTGGAAAAATTCGGGGAATATTTTGTTGGTTTTTGTACGATTGTAGTTGAATGCATAGCCTCCTATAAAGAGTCGAAACTCACTATAGTAGAGTTTCACGGCGACCCTTTTTACGTGAAGTGGCGGCGTAAAACTCTGTGAAAAACGCGATATTCGCGGTGATATGCAGTAGTCGTGAAATATATTTTCTATCACTAGTGATTTTCATATCACTAGGGTGGTGAAACTCCAACATACACTATGTGACAATTTGATAGTGAACAAGTTGTCGCTATCATCACAGTCCCAAACGGGTACTCTCATCATCACAACACATGTTCATAGCCATCGTTACATTGTATATGCGATGCTCATTAATCTCGGAAAATGTGTTATTTTGTAGGGCAAATGATAGTGAACAAGTTGTCGCTATCATCACAGTCCCAAACGGGTACTCTCATCATCACAACACATGTTCATAGCCATCGTTACATTGCAAATCGATTTTCATTAATCTCGGAAAATAACACACATTTGCAAATCACATTGACACGCTCTGTAGTGAAGAATTTCTGGGAGATTCTCAACGATTTTTTCACTCCTGAAATTTCAGCTGCGGTGAGTGAACATATATATATTCTTGCAACACTTAGTCTCGTCGCGTTTGTATGGTTCAGCAGGTAGCGCCTTTGGAGTGCTATCAGCGGCTCTTTGTGGAGAGGTAGTAGTAGTGGTGGAGTGTATCGAAATTTGGAAAATGCGCGTTATTTTTTCCGATGAGAATTGACAAAATATATTTTATAATTTTAACGATATTAATATCTTCTCGAAATAATTGCTCTTTTACTGTACTGATCAAAACGATGAGGAAATGGATATTTCTCGAGATTCCAACATAAATGGTAGAGTAATTCATATATATAATAAAAATGTGAAAGTGAAGTGCGAGTTCTTCTGGGAGGAGAGAAAACTACGATCAATTCAAACATCAATTTTTCATACTGTTGTAGTTGAACCCATTTTACGTGAAGTGGCATAAAAACGCGTGATATTCGCGGTGATATGCAGTAGTCGTGAAATATGTTCTTCACTAGTGTTTCTCATATCACTAGGGTGGTGAAACTCCATTTTTGTCGTTAGACGCGTATGCATTTTTCTCTTATGATAGCAATACGACATATACTCTTCAGGAAAATCAGGTGCCGAATCTTATTAATTCTTCCACATCCGAATGTGGTGAAAATGTTTATTTTCACAATCACTACTGCAAGAATTTTTTCCTGATATTTTTCCCTTCGAAATCGTTGGTGCTCATCGTATATGGAGTCACTGATGTTGGAGCGCAGCATAATGTTCATTTTAATCACGTATAAAATGGAATTTCACAACTACCCTAGTGATATGAAAAACATATTCCACGACTACTGCATATCACCGCGAATATCGCGTAAAACGGAAAAATTAACTCCACTGTAATAATCTTATTTTAGTAAAAAATGAGGAGTTTTTTTTGTTGAGTAAAAAATAATATTTTCCCCTTCTCTTCCTCTTCCTCCTCCAGGTTCCCCCCTGTGCGAAGCCTGTCCCGGCGTTTATTGATACCACTGATGTCGCTACTCTCCCCGATGGGAGGTTGGTCACTTCTTCGCTCACTTCGGGCGTTAGATTGTGGTCGCCAGTGGGATGGTGGTGTAAATCTCGCTCGCCCAATAATCCGAATAGTACATTGTCCATACACGCAGCAACGGCGGTTAGTGGGATGGCTAATTGTGAGGCGATGATGTGGGGAACGCAGAGTGGGTGTGTGCAGTTGGTGAAGTTGGACGATTTGCAGGGGGTGCGGTATGAGTGGAAAATCGGCCAGCTCGAGCGGGGAGGAGTAGCGGCTCTACGCTGTACGGAGGTGCCGGCTGGCAGTAGTTTCTCGATGATGACCGACGATTATAGCATTTTCGTTGGTGATGTGCATGCGTGCGGAAATTGGACACATATTATTCCGTCGGAGATCTCTGAAATCGATAGGGGTCGTCGCTGCTCGTCGAGTCTTCTCGCACCTTCCCCGTGTAATGAGAGTTTGCTGGTTGCCGCGGTGACACCCAGAAGAGTTATTCGATTTGCTGATGTTCGGCAGAAGAAACTTTTGAAAGATTTGAAGTTACTCGTGTCACCGACGAGCGTATCATTGAGGGCGGATGGAGCCTCTATGGCTGTGGGGTCGGAAAATGCGGCGTTGGTTTACGATTTGCGGTCGTTGAAAAGTCCAATGGTTAAATTCGAGGATACTCCCGCGAGAAACGTCGCGTTTTATCGACATTATCATATTGAGGAGGTAACATTCAGGATGAGAAGGAAGTAGATATAAATTCATCGTATAGTTATTATCTATATCATAATCGATCATCTTGATACGATAGAAATATTCCTATTTTTTGATATGCATTTTTAATATTATTATAATATAGTTGTGGAGTATATTTCTAATAAGGGCGCACAGAGGATTATATCTATAGTAAACAATCGATGTCGGGATAACACCGTATTGCGGTATGTGAACCCATCTAGCTTTGAGAATTAACAGCCCTAGAGATCTGATAACAATGTTGATAATGTGGTGGCATTCACATGGTAAAACTTTCTGAAGAATGAAGAAAATTCGAACATTACAGGTTTCTGGATGATTTACTGTATAGTAATTGTCATCTTCTGTAGGAGCCTCCGTCGCCGAAGACAACTACTCCTCGAGGGAAGGAAGCTGCAAGTAAATCGATGACCCCCCACACACAAAGGCTGGCGGGCATGTTGAGACGCATTGGAGCTCCTACGAGGCCGACAAGTGCTGATACGACTAACAATTCGATGAAGTCGGCATTGCCGTTGGAGAATCGATCGTCGAATGTATTGGATGAATCTTCACGGGAAATTGTAGGGAATCGTAGCATTCAAAATGAGGAGGAGGAGGATGAGAAAAGTCCGAGCCATTCTCTCTTCCCAGATCGTCGAGGTTCGCAGTCTTCTATTGGAGGAATCAGTATGCGGAAATTAATGTTGAACGGTGGTGGTGGTGACGGAGGAGCTTCTACTGCGGATATGGAAATGTTGGTGTCGTCGTTGAACAGAATGCATGTTGAAACGATAGGCAAGTTGCGATATTTGGAGATGCGTCAGAAGCAGACGGAAGATACTTTGAGTAGAATCCTTGACAAACTCGATAAGTAACATGTCTATTTCTTTGCAACGGACAAGGAATGTCTTGAGTTTCAACAAAGTGTGGGTTACATCGCAACAGCACGAGGCAACTGCCCCTCATCATCTCTGTTATATTCCATTTGATGGGATATTGGTGGAAATAATTTCAGCTAAAAGCCGTAAAACTTCAAGGGTTTCGGTGACATTCTCCCTAGAGCTCGTCGAGCTCTAATACGTTCGCGGGTCATCCGATGCTGTCCAACCTTAGAACAGTGAGAGGGCTGCCTGTAAAAAGTCAGCAGCAAGTTTTGAACTGACAACCTCCCGCTTCCGAGACTACCGCGTCCCCGTTCCGCCATAGAAGATGATGGGAGACTGCTAGTTCATATTGAATATATGCTGATTCATGATTCGTTGTGGAAGTCTTAATATTAAGCTGCCCCAAAAGCGGACATATCAAACCACCGGCTCCAAGACTCCGAAATGAGAACGTAATTTCACAACGACGCCGACCAAACCCGCGATGAACAGCACTCGGCTTTATCAGACCAGCGAGTCACAAGGTTGTTGTATTTACAGCTATCCCAACTAAATGTGAACTCAACAACACTGACGGAGAGAAGAGGACAGGAATTCTCTCAGAAAGTTATGACGATGATAGAAATACTGCTCCTGTTGATTCTCACAGTAATCAAACCATAAAGCATCATCTTAAGAAAAGCTCCTTTTGGGTGCATTATTGTAGAAACCTCACAACAGTTTCTATGCTGTCCCCTCATTCTGCTGTTGATACTGTTGCTTCGCTTGCCTACGGCGCATAATAGCATCATCGACGTTGAATTGTCCCTAAGAAAAAAAACCATTTCCAAATCGATAACAACCGATACCACTACTTGTAAAACTCTGTGTATAATTTCCATCGCTTTTTCAATTTTAATACTATCTCCTTTGATCGTGAGAGGCCTCGGCTGGCCAGTAACCCCCGCTTTCTCCATATCCACTTTCGCACCCGAGTCGTTCTGCAACGCCCACAACACCACTCCTCCCGGGCCGACGATCGAGCCGATGCTTTCATAAGGAATACTCAAAACCCTCACACCAGGGGCGTCAGTCATATGTATCGGTGCCATAGCGGGCTGAGGAAGAGGAGGAGAAGTCTGCATGGCGCCCATCTGCTGCTGCGAGTTGTTCATAGTCGTCATCATAGTTGGTGGATTCATCATCATACTATACGGATACCTCCCCACCATAGACTGCTGTGGAGGGACCATTTGGCGTTGCTGTTGACTCTGACGAGAATTGGAACCTCCCGGGGTCGATGCGCGACTCAACGGAGTGCTGAGGAATACTGATAAGCTCACATAAGTCTACACTGCCCCTCTTACCCTCCAGCTCTCTCCACTGCTCTACCAATGTCATACGTGCCTTCCAACACCGACATCGCCATTTCATATCCGCTCGCAACCTGTGGGCTCATCCCCGAAATCGTCAACGCTCGAGGACCTCTCGTACTGTCGCTACCAGCAGTTGGAGCGGCTAAAACGACCAAGAAGGAAACACTGGAGTTTCAAACATATTTCACAATGCGAGCAGTGAATAACACGTAAAAATGAAGGTAAATGTTGAATTTCACATGGAGTATTACGCCACTTCACGTAAAACGAGTCGTGAAACTCCACTGAAAAGTTACGTTCCATGTCAACCTTCGCTCCGCTGTCCAACTGCAAGGCTCTCAACACCGCACCTTTCGGCCCTACCAAACTTCCTACATGTTCCACCGGCACATATATAACCTAAAATACAACTACTGCATTCACCAGAGTTGGAGTAGGAATATATGTAATCGCTTTCCTCAACTGCTGAGCTCAGAAGAGTTTCCTATACAGTGTTGGAGTAGGAATATATGTAATCGCTTTCCTCAACTGAGCTCAGAAGAGTTTTCTCACTAATTTGCATACGAATTCCCAAAATTCCCTCAAAATTTTCACTCATGTTGTACACCATATACCCCTCCTTACCCGTTTTTCTTGTATATTAGGATCACCATGTCTGCCCGCATACACCCCCCTCCCCTGGCCACCCATGCTGATACTCTTCGACCTCCTATCTTGCTCTTGCTGCAACAACGCCGCATCCACGTTGTAGTGTCCCTCCATAACGTCATGAACCATCCACACAGCAGCAGCCACCTGGTCCCTGCCTCCCACCAAAGCGAGCTCCTGGTCGCCCCCAGTCGTTCTCTCTAGACGAGGAGCTATATCAAGTTTTGCACCCGAGTCGCGTTGTATCGCGCGAATGACCGCACCCCTAGGGCCGACTACTGACCCCACGCTCGATTCGGGAATAGTCAAAGTCTGAAAAACAAATAAAATATTCGGAATATTTCCAAATAAAAATTCTGAGAGAAATTTCCTACACCTCAGCTGAACTCAGGAGTTCATACATGAATTCGGGTAGAAGAACTCAATAATAATTTTCCAAAATTTTCCGAAAATTCCACTTTTTCCTAGTAGACGATTACAGAGTTATAATATATGTTTGCTTCCCTCAGCTGAGCTCAGAAGAGTTCATATATGAATTCTGTTAGAAGTGTACGAAAATTTTGCAAAAGTTTCCCAAAATTTCCCAAAAATTTCCAAAAATTCCCCAAAATTTCCAAAAATTTTCCAAAAAATTCTCAAATTTTTCGCCAATATTACTACCCTGCGTTCATAACCTTCTGGTAACTCCCCCTTATATGTGGATAGAACAGCAGAGATATACTCGTGAATCCTATTGCGGCAATCGTCGAGGCAAGCTTGGGTATCTGATGAGGAACAGTAGTGTTGGAGTAGGAATATATGTAATCGCTTTCCGAAAGCTGCTGAGCTCAGAAGAGTTCCCTATACAGTGTTGGAGTAGGAATATATGTAATCGCTTTCCTCAGCTGCTGAGCTCAGAAGAGTTTCCTATACAGTATTGGAGTAGGAATATATGTAATCGCTTTCCTCAAGCTGCTGAGCTCAGAAGAGTTTCCTATACAGTGTTGGAGTAGGAACATATGTAATCGCTTTCCTCAGCTGCTGAGCTCAGAAGAGTTTCCTATACAGTGTTGGAGTAGGAATATATGTAATCGCTTTCCTCAGCTGCTGAGCTCAGTAGAGTTCACGTACGAATTGAGGTACCAGTATACAGAAACCAACAGAAAGTTCCCAAAGTTTCTCCCAAAATTTCCATATTGTCATCACCAACACACGTAGTTGACCATGTGCATATTTCCCCCCACACTTATCGTTTTTCAAGAGTAATATATACAACCACTACAATTTCCGTCACGAAATTCCGAGAGAATCTGATACCGTAAATCCGAAACATCAGTCCTACTAGTAGCAAGCTTGAGCACAACTGCGGAGGGGTCCTGATTGGTACCGTTGACCACATGAACAACACAGCGACTTTGGGCTTGGATCTCAGCGAGATGTTGCATAACTTTTTTGACGCTCATCTGAGGGCAGACTATAGCCTCTTGGTAGCGACCAGGAAGAGTAGCAGTAGGGTTGGTCGCAGAGGCTCCTGAACACGGAATCATTAACAGAAACCTACAATGCAGTTTCACAACTACCAGTTTTACGTGAAGTGACGTATGAGATATGCAGTAGTCGTGAAATATATTTTTCACTAGTGTTTTTCATATCACTAGGGTGGTGAAACTCCAATACTCGATCAGTTGCCCATGTCGTCATAATATGAATATTTCTATCACTGGAGTTTCCCGACTACCCGTTTTACGTGAAGTGGCGTAATACTCTACCAAAATATCCTAGATAAATGAAAATCGCATATACAATGTAACGATGGCTATGAACATGTGTTGTGATGATGAGAGTACCCGTTTGGGACTGTGATGATAGCGACAACTTGTTCACTATCATTTGCCCTACAAAATAACACATTTTCCGAGATTAATGAGAATCGCATATACAATGTAACAAAGGCTATGAACATGTGTTGTGATGATGAGAGTACCCGTTTAGGACTGCTGTGATGATAGCGACAACTTGTTCACTATCATTTGCCCTACAAAATAACACATTTTCCGAGATTAATGAGAATCGCATATACAATGTAACAATGGCTATGAACATGTGTTGCGATGATGAGAGTACCCGTTCGAGACTGATGTGATGATAGCGACAATATTTGCATATCAAATTGCCACATAGTGCAATACTATCCCTACTCACCTGCTTCAACCCTCGCACGTTTACGGTCTACCTCCTCACTATTCAGCATTCAAGGGTCAATGCAAACGCTGAAATAAAGTCAGTCTAGTATGAGGAAGGCGCGACGAGTGGTTCGTGACAGTTTTTGGGCGTGCGCGAAAAGAGCACTATGCACGCGTGGACACGAGCGTCGAGATTGACTATGACATTATCATTTTTAGCGTCCTCGCTCTCCCATGAAAATATCATACAGAAACATGGCCTCTCACTAACTACGTACTCACCTTGACCCAACTACAGCGTAACTTAGACCGGTGTAGTTGACGCTAGTCGCTGCTCGATGTTCCGTCGCTGCGGGACTCATCATACATACCGGTGTCGGAGAATCTTCTACGAGATGTCTTGCGCCAAGCTCCTCGGCGGCTCAGACCACCTTCTGAAGTCCAGGGGATCGCCGATATCACCACCGAAGGCGTGGACCAAAGTGAGTAGTAGATCGTGAGTTACACATCGCCGAAGGAATAGTTGTCTTACCGATTTACGGAGAAATTTGCGCTTGAGAAAAGGAGTCACACTTCGGAGTCGTGCGACAGGTGGAACAACGATCCTTCTCCGGAACATGGAAAAGGCGCATTTTGATCCGCACTCGCATGGAAGTGCCATCCTCCACCATGGTGCGGCTCAGCAGTGTCATGATATTTCGCATGATCTCCCTGACCATCAGCTCCGACTTGAGAACATTCAGTTGCAGTGGAGGTAGTGGTATAGATGGGGTCTTGATTTGACCATCCCATGTAACTTAACCTAACAACAGCCACAACGCA